AAATTACATATTAAAAAACTACGTCAAAAGTTCTACAAAATAAGAGGTGACAAGAATATTTTATTTTATCAAATACTTAATGAAATCACGTAAACAAACAAAAGTTATCGAGAGAAGAGAGAAAAAAAAATTGTAATCTATTTAGGGACGGATGAAGTACATCTTTAGTAACCTAATATTGTTCTAGGCTCATAATATATTCTAAGAAAAGGCTATATATATACTCCATCCATCCCAAAAAGTCTTTCACATTTCAAAAAAATCGTGTCCCCAAAAATTTTTCCCATGTCTATTAAAAAACCACTTTTACCTCTTACTTTTTCTTACAATATCTATCACATCATATTTTTTCTCTAATAATCAATATATCACATCTTACTTTTACTCATCACATCAAGGATATTTTTTGGAAAATCAACAAAAAATTATTCATCCATTATTTTACCACTTTAGTCAATATGTCCTTATCTTCATTCGACGAAGGGAGTACAACATATTGGAGTCCTAAACCTTTCCATGTGAAACATAGGTCCCACTCAAGCATGTTAATTATTTGTTGGGTGGGTTGAATATTTGCCACCTTCCAACGACATATCACCCATTTTTGTATGTATATTTTTACCTGGAACCTATTCGACATTATGTCGACATAGGTATCATATTTTTGAATCTTATTGGTAATTCTTGTCCTCAATCATTTTGGGCAAGTCTTATCTTTCTTCTAGGTTGCCTCTTTAGCATCCCACTATAACATAAACGCTTTAATCAAGATTGAATTAACAATGTAATATTATGGGGTTAAACTTCACCTTCATGTTATGGGGTTAAACTTCACCTTCATGTAACTTCGCCAAGACAGTACCAGAATCATCATTGACTTCCCTCGATTAATTGTGGACACCTTGATCGGAGGTCCAAACGTACATTAACATTAGTGCGGTATGCAATCTAATTGATTCGAATGAATTCAAAACCGAATATGCCTTAATCGGGTTGAATTTGGGTCAAAACAGAGTCAGGCTTGGGCGAGAAGGTATGGGCTAATCATTAATCTAAGACTAATTGATTAGGGGCAACCATCGACAACAGAACTTGCAACTGATGAGTGATCAAATAGACTACGTGGCTGATCAATTACCAACAATCTTTCTTCAATTACTTTAGTATTGACATCTTAGTTTCATTTTTTCACATTAAAAAGGTAAGCACTTACCATCTCTCTCTTAAAAATGAGTTATAAGTTGACTCAACACGTTTTTTTATGAGAGTGAAAGAATTTTATTAACTTTCCTAGTTTGTTGACTAATATTTGCGTTCCCTTCTCAATTTCACCGTTAACGCACACTAAACTCCTTGGCCCCAACTATTGTGCCACCGACCATCCCCATCTACAAGTGACAAGCAACCATTGTGCCACCAGGAATGTTACGGAAATTGAACAACGATGATGATTTGAACTCATATGCATGAAGTAGAATTATATGATGACAATGGATATATGAGTTGAATCATTCAATGGAGGAAATCTTAGATTCTAGAGAGGAAGGGATAGATAATGTCAGCAATGGTTTGAATCACTAACTTGAGTTTGACTTGCACAAAACTGAACCTGACATAAATTTTGGATAGCTCTGAGGTCACTTTTTTATCCAGATATCTGGGCGGGTCAAACTTGCCCATTAAATTTGGGCCAAACATCATGCCCATGAAGGTGATTCAAAGAGTCATAAGGCGGTCCGACCCAAAATCTTTATATGTACTACACACAAATAATTGTAATTAAGATATATATTAGTATTTGTATCTAGCTAATATTATTTTGATGTTCAAATGAACATAATATGAATGTTATACGATACATAACTATAAAATTATAATTTCCTCAATGAGTATATAAAAAAACATATTTGTATAATATATGGTAGGTATTTATATGTTTATATATAAGATGTGGGTGGGCTTGCTAGACCATATGAGCCAAACATTAAACACAAGCCCATTTATACTATGTTACATGCCAATTTGACCCATCCCGCATGGGCTCATTTTGTTGTGCATATATGCCCACTCTTAAGGGTGGAATGGATGTGCTTGATGGATTGGTCTGAATTTTTGCAGATCTAACTTGAGTAGATTTTCAAAATATCGGCGACGATGGCGATCTAAAAAGGTGAGGGCAGAAGAAGAAATGAAAGGGGGAATAACAACTGAAAAATGAAGAAGAATATGGTTGTGGCGGCGGCTCAATCGTTGGCGACGATGATGTGAGTGAAGAAAAAGAGAACAAGAAGAATACAAAATGAAGCGATGAGATGAAATCAGATCATGGATGATAGGGATGATATTTAGGTTAAGTTCGGGTTGCAATGGTAAATAAGTTACTTAGAACACGACATTTACAAATAAACGAGAGATTATTTTTCGAACAAACAAAAAGTACACACATAACTTTTTTCTGTATTAATTCTTTTTGGAATTTTTTTTTTCAAAATAAAATGGTAATTTTATCACTTAGTAGTATCAAAATTTAAAGCATCGCAAGCATGAGCTTGAGCGATGGAAACTCACTCCAAAAATTTAGACACAAAATTAGACGCTCGAGCTAACAAATAAGCAATATGTATCATTAATTTCCAAACCATAGACCATGAGAGAGAATTCAATTATGTCTCAAATGACTATTTATTTATTTATAAATTATTTAGTTATTAATTAATTAATTAATTTTTTATTTAATTACGCAATCAAAAATTAAATTTTTATTTATTCATAAAAATTATATACAATAACAAATAATTAAAAAAAATATTATCCAACATCTAAACCAAAATCCTACTCCCCTACCTTTTTAAATTTTGGCTTTTTGGACTCAAACAACAAACTCTTACAGCCAACTACCAAGTACTCTTTTGAACTGTTTGACGAGTCAGATTCACTAAAATTGATCAAAACATCCAAAAGTCATTCTAAGAGCATGTTCTTTAGGATTGGAAAAAAAGAGCTGGATGTTGGAAGAAACTGGAAGGAACTGGAAGAAACTTTAAGAAACTGAAAGAAACTGGAAGAAACTAGAAGAAACAGGAAAAAATTAAAAGAATATGAAAAACTAGAAAAAATTGGAAAATCTAAAAAAACCTTTAAAAAAAACTTTTTTGTGAGTTTTTATATTATTCTCATTCTAATTCTTGTTGTTATAAATTATTATTATTGTTGTTGTTGTTGTTGCTGTTGGTGGTGGTGGTATCATCACGTTATCTTAATCAATGGCTTTAAGATAAAAAATATATATATTGTTATTTTTCATACAAGAAAAACTAGTTTTGTTAAAAGTACTTAGAATATAAAATTAGGATAAATATCAAAATGTTAAATACTTAAAAGTTATTATGGCTATGCAGCATTGCGATTATATTTTATATATTACAAGATTTTGTTTTAAATATTAGGGACAATATATATATGCACAATATTTTACATATTAGAGACAATAAATTTATATGTGCAATAACGAAGTATAGTTTTTACACTATGATTATGTTGAAATTGATTGAATTATTTATATTTATATGCGCACTATTTTACATATTAGAGACAATAAAAAGTAGATCAAATAATGAAAGTATAAATTTTTTGTTAGTTGTATTTAATAATTGGTGATATTATTTGTTATCTGAATTTCTTTTTTACACTTTTTGGGTCGTTTTTTCTTTGTCAAAATGTAGTGCTCTCTTGGTTTTCATAATGTAGTACTCCCCACCCCATTCAATTTTTATATTTTAGATTAAAATATTGATGTTTACCTGTTGGATTATGGAATCCAAGGGTAGGGAAGAAGGAGAAAATGTGTGAAGAAGAAGATGAATAGTGTGGGTATTGTGTAGCCTCCTTTTCCCTCCTCCCCTCCTCTTCCAAGAAGAGGAGTATATATAGGGAGAGCCAGAGTTAGGGTTCCGAACAAATGGGTCGGCCCAACAGACTGGGCCGCCCTAAATAATAAATATGCGACTAATGAACCGGCCCAACATACTGGGCCGCCCTTAAATAAATAACTAACGTACGACTAACGGGCCGGTCCAATAGACTGGACTGCCCCAACTAATATTATACAAAGACCGGATACCCCCTGTCCAGGGTATCCATCATTACCTTATATAGATTTAGATTAAAAAACATTCTATATAACTATTTTTATCCATAATTTTTTAAATAATTTAAAATGTTGATGTTTTCTTATTTTATCATGTATATTAATATACAAAAAATGATATTATTCATATTAAAAAATTGAAGAAAAAATAATAATGAGTGTGAATCATAAAAATAGTGAGATGAAAAAATGAAATAATTTATAATATATATTTATGAACATAATAGTTGTTGATGGTGTAAATATAGATGAATGGGGTGACCGGGTTTTATCTAGACACACTCGACCCGTAGTAAAATACACACAACAAGAACACAAAGTATGACCTAGACCAAGTAAATCTCCTCAGTTCGAATTATATTTCTTACTCTGTCTCAAGAGTGTACTTTTTAGTGAGATAAAGATTGGCCCCCCTCCTCTATCCATAATCATCATATTTATAGAGGAGGATTTGTGACCTTCCTCTGTTCATCTATGGACAAAATAGGAAGCCTGGAAGAAGGTCACTGTACATAATGTAATCACTATTCAATCAATGATTTTAGTAGCTACAAGCTAAGACACTGTTCAATCAAAGACTATAAGGTAGATATTCTCAATCCAATCAACCCTACAAAATGATGAACATCTATTTCACTGTATGCCTCGTGATGGATGAGCGGCGGGGTGGTCTCCCGATCTTTGACGTGGTTCGCCATGCTTAAGAGACTGGACCAATGTTAGTCAAGTATAGTGATATGACCGGTCACCTTTTCTCAACGGTTACCCGATCATTTCTTGAGATCGGGATCGGGATCGGTACAATGTAAAATCCCATACCGAAACGAAATATTTAGTACAATATCAGTACGAGCTAAATACCTTACCAAGCTCACCCCTACTCCAACTAAATTTTCGTGCAATTAGGGCTAAAACGCCCATGATTGAAAAAAAACTACCGGGGCGAATTCAACACAGATCGGGAGAACCGACTGGGCTAGCTTGGAAACAAAGGCAGCATGGACGAAGCTTTGGAAAGGCACGCTAAATCTATCGCAGCTCCATTGGTGTTCTTCATCGTTGGCGTTTTTCAATTTCTCTCCCGATATCTTGAAATCCGAAAGACGGTAAAGTTCCCCCCCAATTGCTTCTGTGATTATGCTCTTTCCTTCTTATTCCCCCCCAAAATGTTTCGTTTGACGTTTCTACCATTAATCAGTGGGTACATCTATCTAAGAATAACCCACTAGGCAGTGGAAGCCTGGAAAGCTATAGTAGCCAATGATTTTGGGTTATAAATTATAATCAGCTTATTCGAATACACAAAACTGTTCTTTTTTTTTTTTGTATTTAAAATGGGTAATATGAATTTGCAGAAAACATCAATTTCCGACAAGGATGCACAGTTGAAAGCAGAAATTAAGCAGCTCACGAAGGAGGCTAATGCATTGTCTCAGTGAGCCACTCTAATTTTTCTTTGATCATTTCAGTTCATAGTGCTCTGGGTATATGTTGTGGCATGAATCTGCTGTTAAATCAAACACGACGTTCTGTTATAAGAATGAATTCACATGGTATGGTTTTTCATTGATTGAAACCGATGTTGGTAATTTTAAGCTAGTCGGGCTTACGGGCAGCCATTTACGGGCCTAAAATCAACGTGATCCAATTGTAATGACAACCAAGAGTTAGAAATGAAGGTTCTGAATTTATGTTTACTGGCGTGTGTTTTTTTGTATTCACTAACTTTTATTCGTGCAAGAAGTAAAAAACTGACGCTTTTATGATATTTGTGTGCAGTGTTCAAGGTGAACGAATTTGGTGTTCTTACTTTTAGTGTTTCAATGTTGTAAACAGGGATCTCTATAAATGATTGTATTTAAACTACTGACTTACTGAGGGAAGTCATGCTCAGTCTGAATAATAGGGAGTTGAGGACCTGAGAGAACACATTATATATTACATCATTTTGGCAGTCCCTATGTTGTTTTGTGATAACTTATATCACCATACTTAAAAAAGCTTGAAAAAGCACCAAATCTAATACAACAAAGTACTCTCTAAAGAAGTACTTGTATCTAAGTACGGCCATGTTCTTTTCAACATACAAGTCCATTTATCCGAACTCCAATTCTCAATCTCCAGTTTCCAGACACCATATACAAGTGCTGGATTCGAGCTGCTCCCCCATCTCATAATTTATGTTCCTTTCCTCTTTGGGCCGTCTCAAAATTTTGTTCCACTTTTCTTTACATTTTGATCTGGGACGACCCGGAGGGTGGGCAACATGTGTAATTGCACAAGGCACCCAATTTTTTAGGGTCCAATATTTTTAGACGTTCATCGTTCTACCTATTTGATATATTTAAAATTATTTTTTTAAATGTATAAATATATATTTCAATAGTTAAAATTTTGCATAATTGATCATGAAAAATCAAAATAAGCATTGATTTAAAAATATAAGTAATCCGCACCAAATAAAATTTGGCTTAGTACATGTTTTCACACATGGCCTTTTTTAATTTTTATTTCAAGACTGGCCCTGAATTTGATGTTGTAATTGTTTCTCACTCATCTAAAAAATTTCAACCAAAAATTCCACTTTACTTAATGTTAGCCAAAGAAAATCAGGAGCGTAATTATGGAACAAAGGGAGTGTATTTTAAATTATGTTCCAGGTTTTAGTTTCCAAGTTCCAGATTTCTAGTGTTTAGAATCCAGTTTCAAGACTCAAGTTTTCCTCTTTTCGAGACTACCATTTAAATTAAGACAAAAGAACAAGCCTTACATGAAGCAAGTGCCATGTGGATTTTATAGGGATGACGTGGCACATTGCACCCATGTTTTTTTTTTCTGGGGAGCTCCAGTAAATTCCTCTTTGCAGGAGTGGAACACTATAATCTATCAAATGAAACGTAATTATGTTTTTACAAGTTTTTATCGACTTTTAATTTAGCAAGTTTGGGTGCCGTTTTTGGTATAATAGGTTGTTCGTTAGAATCTCTTTTATATTTGGTAGTTACTAGTCAGCTATTTCAAGCTTCTCTTCTCATAATTACTGCACCAACTTAATTTTCAAAGAGAGACATATACTGGCTCTCTCAAAGAGAGAGAGAGAGAGACAGAGAGCGTCATATGCTGACAATTATATAATTTGCACTTTATAGGAGATTCAAATTAGACATTACTACGTATACAAAATGTAACCTGTTTTCCTCTTGTTCAGGCCTTCAACTTTTGCGCAAGCTGCAAAGCTGAAGAGGATGGCTGCAGCTAAGGAGAAGGAACTTGCTAAAAGTATGTTTTGTTTGTAATCTTTGACTTCTGTTTGCTGCATAAGGAATTTGGTTTTCTCCTTCTGCGATAACGGTTCCAAGAAATACAAGTTTTTGCACCATTTCATTGCATACCATGGTCGATGTCAAGTACAAGATATTACACTATGGTTATAAGGTTATTACTTGCTAGTTGCTACATGTTGAATGCAATACATTACACTATGGATTTCCTTTGATACCTTGTAGACACATGACAGTAGTGCACAATAGTTGTGTTCTAGTATTGCTGTCACATCTATGGCGTGGACACACTTAGTAGAAAGAATCCCACAGATGCTAGTGCATTTCTAAAGACACAACTCAATTACTCCATCCAACATAATAAAATTTTTAATCATTAGCTGGAACCCTTCTGTCATACTCCTTTTGTCTCAAATAAAGTTCATAGGTCGGTTTACGATGTTCGACTGAAATTTTTTTCAATTCAATTATTTGAATTGGTATAGAATAAAAAAATAAATATTTAAAAATTCTATCAAAAGATCTACAAAACAAAAGGTGACATGACTATATTATTTTATCAAATGACGAACAAAAATAGGAAAAAAAACTTATAAAGTTTGACCTTGTTAATAGTGTACGAGAACTTCATTTTGGGAATAGGGAGTATTTTATTGAAACACAAACTATTTGTGAGCAAATTTTTAGCCACTCTGCACAATTTCTCAATATGCAGTTGGCTTGTGCCATCTGATTTCTGTTTTAGACAGATGTCTTCATTGATTATTTGGGTTCTTATATTAATTCAGAGATCACTTATAACAAAAGGTGGCGCTAAAAGGGTTGTAATTGCTTTAACTTTGGTGAGGACATGTGTGCTTGTACGGTTGAGCTGGAGACTCAAAGCTTCATGTGAAAAAGTGGATTCTTTGTAAAGATTCATTTTATATATTATATTTTTCACTCTCAGGCTTTTTAATTTTTCATTTTAAAGTAGAAGTCCAAAATAAGTGGGGCCAACCAATCAATTCGAAGCTTGGACTGTGCTCATTTCTGTTTGGTGAATTTGTCTTCATGTTTATTAGTTTATATAAGTGATGCTGCTATGTAGCACCTGTCTAGTGTATTCTATGTCAGAGTTCTATGTGCATCACTATTTGGAGAATTTCTCATCATAAGCTATCTATGCACGGTGCACCTTTAGTATACATTACTCTAGTTTTTTTTTGTGTATGAGTGTATCCCTCATTGATCATGGTGACTTTTTAGGTCAAGGAATCTACAAGAAGGAGACAAAGATGACCTATGATATGTATACAAATTGCCTATTGATTTTAAAGGTAATGCATGCTTTGAGAAGTTCATGATTAAATTGATTGTGTGGTTATCGCTTACTATAAGTTGTAGAATTTAGATAGTTTTGTAATCTATTTTTTTTCAGATCTTCACGTACTCTATGCTCCTTCTCTGGTTTTGGCGTGTACCTGTGGCTTCTGTATCCAAGCAGCTGGTACAGCCTTTTGGTAATGCTCGTTCCTTCAACTTATTTTGCAGTAAATGCTTCATGCATCATTTGGTTATTCATTGGTCGTGTCATTATGCCCCCGTCCAAATAACATAATTAGTACGACCATAACTCCATTGGAATGTGGGGGTCAAGATGTATACAGTCTTATCCCTTTAAAAAGGAGAGAGGTCGTTTTCGTTAGACTCTTGATGCATTGCCCCATTTATTGCCCACAACATCATAGAAAGCAAGAAGTAACGGAAGTTTAATGTGCCTTTTTTTAGTCCATTATATAACTGAAACTAAAAGATTGTCAATTTTGACTTTTAGTGTCATTGGCAATCAAGCGCTCCCTCTCCCCCAAACACAATATATAATGATGATACTGTTAATCTTACAAAAATGGCATTTGAAATTCATTGAATCACAACCTCAGATGTAGTTACTTCATGTTGATAAGTCGGTTATGCATTTATCATGTTTTGGCAGGTAAAATGCTATCATGGCGAGCAGGAGGCTTTGTAAACGACAATGTCATGGTAACTTTTAGTCACTTTTTGTATATAGTTTTGTTTTTCTCCCAGTACATAGTTCATTCGGGATCCAAGATTAAATCAATATGTACTAGGCACTAATCGGGTTAGGGCTTAGGGATGACCTAAAGTGGAACTAAAATAAGATATCAAGGATGAAGATGACAAAACTCGAAGGCTATTTCGTATAGATAGCTGAACTCGACAAACAAAACAAACCATGGATAGAGAGACGGAGGGGAGGGAAGGGATGGTGGTGGGGTGGGTGGGGGGGGGGATGAACACAGTCCTTACCTCTATCCCTCTCGGTACAGAAACGGTTTCCGGTTCCAGGAGGGCCCCAAGCAAAATTCGGAAGTAGTATGATGAGTGGAAAAACCAAACACACTGACAACACCACCCACACGGTCACACCATTACCAATAACACCGAACCCCTAGAAGCACCATGCACCCTAAAAACTCTTATTAGATTTCATGACCTCAAAGAGGCTTAAGACCACGAAATCCAATCTCAGTTGCTCATCCCACGTGTTGCATGGTCTGCCTCCCCTTTGGTCCCCGTCCCCTTAACCACCGTACTCTCCTTACTGGTGTAGTTGCATCCTTACAGCAGACGTGACCAAACCGTTGCAGTGTCTTCTCTTTATAAGTTGTAATAGACCTACCTCTAGCTTAGAACATAATATCTCATTTGATACTCTGTCCAGTACGATTACAAATCCTCCACAGCATTCTCTTTTTTTGCAATTTCTAGCTTCCGCTCACCAGTCTTTTCTAATCACCATCAATCAAATCCTTATAAAATATCTGGTCGAATTGCAACCCCATACAATCTACCCTTCAACTTCAATCAATGAGACCTATCTATCACGTAGCACCCATGAGGCATCCCAAACTTCAACCACCCTGCCCTACACTAATGTGATGCACAATGTCATCCTCTACAAGCAAAGATGGTTTATTCACCGCCGCTATTGTCCTTCTGATGAGCTTCACATGAGGGCTTGATATGGCAAAAAATGATAGAAAAAATGACTTTGAGAAGTCCATACAAAGACTTGTACTCCGTAGTTGTTACAGTAGCAAGTAGGTAGAAAATTAAACAAAAGGATGTAATGTAACATGAAATCAATACTACCAATGCAGATTAAGTGAAAGAGATGGCCAAATGTGCAATGAGTAATGACTTAATAGTTAATACTCTTTGGATGAAAAGTGGTTTTTCTATGCCCAAAATTTACCTTCATAAACACTCATTTAGTCACGTGGAGCTTAAAAGTGCCACATTTTATGGTTGTTGACCAAAGTAGATTTTGAATTAATGACCCAAACTCTCAAAGCGAAAAAACACAATGGTTTGCAGTGGATAGTTTATTGTTTTTGTTTTTGGTTGTTGAAGTTGAAATGAATATAAATGACGGCTCTAACATTATTTTTTAGATACAGAGTATTATTTTCCTTAAGTTATTCAGTAATGCAGTATAACAAACCCAGCAAATTCGGTCATATAGTAATTATGGCTCAAAATTTCCAAAACGAACACACCATTGATCCTCCTTGGGTAAAAGTAAAACAAAACCTTATCGTCCTAAAAGTATCTTTAGATATTGTCTTATGCAATGTAGTGCATTTATTATTATTGCTATTATTATTGTTGTTGTTGCTAATATTATATTATCTTTTTTTATATTTGCAAATGATTTATTTGAATAGAGGCACAGTTGTACATTTTGTCACCTGTTTGCCCATTCCGCTTCATTCATTTTTGTTGTTGTTGACCAATGTGTTGGAATTTCAGGTTGGGATCATTCCATGGTTAATCCTGTGTACTAGGGTCAGCAAAACTATTTGCCGTAAAGTACTGACATAGGCACGAGAGAATAGAACACCCCCAACTCCTTATGTGTAATGTATATTTCATACTTGCCTCACCCATATATAGTGTCCATTTTTTTTGACACTTGAGAATTTCAGCGAGAATTCGAGTGTGAATATAATCATTTTATGAAACATTCGTGACGTCCATTCATTAAACTTAAGAGGGTCACTAAGTTCTTGTACTGATAATCTATCTATCTGAATCAATTATGATTTGAATCCAAATGAGAGTTCAAATCCAATTGATAAACTCTTGTATTTCAATTGCTTTCACCATATTTGTTTGAAACCTGCCCTCACTAAAATGCTAGTTTGAAGAACTATGAAAGAAAGGTGAATTTTTTTTCCCCTCACTAAAATGGTGGAAAAAACCCAAACAAATCTTTTCTTTTCTTCTCCAAATTCTTTGAACCAAACATTAAACCCGAAGTTGATCGAATCCGAACACACTGGGTCATGAACATACAGTTCTCAACCCGAATTCAAATTGACCGAACTTGAAATAACCCGAACTCGAAGTGACTGAACTCGAGCCCGACTTGACTGACCGATTTGTCAGCTCTATAATTAGGTTGCATTCTCTTCAACTGATTTGATTTGAACTGAATTTTTTAAGGCTGATCTGATCTGAACAAATCCAATCTGAATGGATTTAAACTCAAATAATTAGAGCAATGATAATAATATTTATAATAAAAATTTATTATTATTAATTATTATTATTCTTAATATTTACAATAGTTAGTTTTTATTATAAATAATTATAATTGCAATTATTTATTATTATTATCATCATTTTTATTTAACAATTAATATAAATATAATTATACGGAGTAATAAATTATTATTATTATTATTATTATTACTATTATTATTATTATTATTACTACGTGTCATCACTAATCATGAGTCTTATCATTAGTAATTATAATTATAATGATATTATTATTAACAACAACAACAACAATAATTACAAATAAATATTATTATTAATTGGTATTGCCATTATCATTAATCATTATTAGTAAATAATAATAATTATATTTATTATCATTTTAATCATTATTATTATTATTAATTCTTATTATTATTATTAAGTACGACAATAATAAATTATTATTATTATTATTAATTAATAATGATAATAATATTAATTATTACATAGTATTATTGTAATTATTGTTATTATTATTTAATAATAATAATAATAATTCTTTTAATTATTATTATTAATTATTATTATGGTTATTATTAAGTATGATAATAAATTACTATTATTATTATTATTTATTATTTATTATTATTATTAAATAATAATGATAATAATAATTGTTATTGCTATTATTGTAATTATTATTATTATTTCAAAATTATATTTTTAATAACTTTCTAATCTGAATTAAATAAATCTTATCTGATCTGAACGGATTTGATCTAAACGGATATTATTTAATATGAATGGATCTAATCTGATTCGGATAAGAATATGCAAAAAGTAGTAGAAATAAGTTGAAGAGAACAAGACCTTACATCCCAACGCCTCAACCACCTAGATCTACCGTTATGGGTGAGCATGGTACGATATATAGCTCATACAGATACCGTACCAAATATTTTGGTTTGGTCTGAGATTGTACATCGTGCCGATCCTAATCCCAAAATATCGATTCAGTATGATTCGAGATGGTTCGGTATCGGTACAAATCGAAATGAATATATATGTACAGACTTTACACCTTAAATATAATTACAACCAGATCAGATCTAATCAAATGAGATTGGACTTAATCAGATCAGACTTAATCCTATCAAATCAGATCAAACAAATCTTCAAAAATCAACCATTATTTGGAGATAGAGGAAGTATGAAACAAATGGATTTTAACGTACTTTAGGACAAAGATACAAACAAATCAAATACCTTAAATTTGATTCATTATTCTTATTCAAATACTCCCTCCGTCCCAAATTATTTACCACATTTGTATTCCCGAGACAAAATATCAAATTTTTTCAATTCATTTTATTTACATATTAGTATAAAAATAAAAAATAAAATTTACATATAAAAAAACTACATGAAAAGTTCTTCGAAATAAGAGGTGTCAAAAATATTTTATTTTATCAAATAACCAATGAAAACATCGAAATAAACAAAAATTCCCGCGACTGCTGAAAAAGCAAATGTTGTGAATATTTAGAGACGGAGGAAGTATAAGGATTTGAATTTGCATAATTCAAATACAAATTCAAATTTTAGTTTTGGGTTGAACATAAATAAATATAAATAGAGGCATATTTGATTCAGATGATATTTAAATATTCGAATACACATATATATACATATAGAACATGTTTTTCAACAACAATATTCATTAATCAAGAAAACTAATAGAGTATAAAGTGCTGTTAAATTACTAAGATTTTATCTAATTGACGTTAAACAAAATTTAAAATACATAATTTTTAATAGTTATATAAATACAACTTCTGTAAGACACAAATGTGTAAATATTTTTTAATATAGTATAATAATTATTGTAAGTTAAATTGTTCAAAACTGACATATACGGAGTAGTAAATTACAAAGTATGATTTTCGAATATTAGTTTAAAATTATTTAAATATTCGAATATCAATCAAATACATATAGAATTTTATTTTTCTTTTTTAATTCATTTTATATTCAAAAAATTTAACAAATATAAATTCAAATATTTCTATATATTTAAAGTACATAAATGCAGAGTAATGGATATGCAATTGGGGCTTGTGGACTCTGGACTGCAGCGATGGATGACGGCACTTGGTACCCGCCTATCGAACCTTCCAATTTCGATCTAATCCTAATCGGCACCGGTTTGCCGGAATCCATCGTCGCCGCGGCCGCTTCCGCCGCCGGAAAATCCGTCCTCCACCTTGATCCCAATCCCTTCTACGGCTCTCATCATGCTTCGCTCCCCCTCCACGACTTCACTTCTTTCCTGCACTCCCATTCAAATCTCCCCTCCGCCCCTCCTCCTCCTCCTGCTCCACAGCACAACGATGAATCCGATTTCCATCTCGTGCCTCTTTGTGCACGTCAGCTCTACTCCTCCGTCGATGTCTCCGTCCACTCTCCCGAGCCTTTGGAATACTCCGGGAAGTTCAACATCGATTTGGCTGGACCTAGGGTTTTCTTATGCGCCGATGCTATGATCGACCTCATTTTGGAGACGGGTATCAATCAGTATATTGAGTTCAAGTCCGTGGACGGGAGCTTCATCTGTGATGGAAACGGTAATCTGGATGCCGTGCCTGATTCGCGCAGTGCGATTTTCAAGGACAGGACTTTAGGTTTTACTGAGAAGAATAAGTTGATGAGGTTCTTCAAGTTGGTGCAGGGGCATTTCGGGGACGATGACACTGAAGGCAACTGGATATCCGAGGAGGATCTGGAGAGTCCGTTTTATAAGTTTCTGAGCAGAATGGATCTTTCGTCTAAGCTAAAATCGTACACATCGAATTGCCTTTCCCCTTGCTGTTAGTGAGGACTCTAGATTCCATTGCTTGTTATGAGATTGCCTTTCGTATTTCCACATGACCACATTCACTTCAATTGTATGTGGTTTTCAAATCCTTTTACTGCATGCATTTTATGAAGCATATGAAGTGGAGTCTGCTGGTGCACATCTCATTGAGTTTAATTTACTTGAATTCTAGAAGCATAGGATGGACAAACACTAAAATTACTAAAACAACATCAGTTTTTCAAATTAAAGCTATATAGGGGGAAAACAGCCTTTTTTTGGAAAAGCTCTACCTCGGCCAAACATTTTCTACTATCTGCTCTGTATAGCATGTGATACACCCTCACACAAGTTGGTCAATTTTTGTTTTCATGCTTTCTTGAGCCCAAATTTTTTTGGCATTCACGTTAATAGACATTACAATTTAAAACACAGTCAAATTACCCGTAGGAAATTGCAAGATCATTCTACTCAATATTAACTGTTCATTCACAATCATTTGTCATATATTTGTAAGTTTTCTAACATGAGTTCATGTCATAATAACACTATCTCATATTATATTTCCATCTAGGATTATACTTCATGCTATAGCCTTGGAAGCTTATGATCAAGAAAATGTGGAGTCATATAAAGTTCTCAAGACAAGGGATGGGATAAACCGTTTAGCTCTTTATCACTCTTCAGTTGGCAGGTTACTAAGTAATTTCTCATTCTTCATGAGTGGTTATTGATTAATGGTTTTGTTACTTGAAATTTGTCACTGAACATGAAAGTGTTTTTTACAAGGGAGCTGAGAGACCATTTTCTATCCTTGTATCATTATATTATTATGACCTTTATGTCTTTGTGATTCCCAGTTATGGGGACGGTTCCCATGACATTGCCCGGAAATGTCATGGGATGACCCAGGGACGCTCCGGTGCCCCGTTCGTAAAATTGATGGTTCCTGCCACCTCTAACTCTCCCGGTAAACCCCCACCCCGCCCTGACCCGAACACACCCCTACACCCGCTTTAACTACAACCCACAAGTTGATTTTGACTCCAAAGTCAAAGTCAACTTGTGGGTGCAATTGAAGGGGGGGGGGTGTTCAGGTCGGGGCGGGGCGGGGCGGGGGGTTTACCGGGGGTAGGAGGGTAGAAACCGTCAATTTTACGAACGGGGCACCGGAACACCCCTGGGTCATCCTATGACATGGGGTTCCAATATCATGGGAACCCCACCATCCAATTATATACACAGTGTAGTTTTGTTGAATGAAAATATGAAAATGAAACCTTTTTAGATTGTTTCAATCTCGACCTCTGCAAACAAGGGTTGGCCCGCCCAGCCCGCCCATTTAAAAGGGTGGATATGGACAACCTTTAATACCCACATGGGCGGACCGGCCGGAGCCCGAATTATATTTAAGCGGATATGGAAGTTACTTTTAGCCCATCCGGGCCAACAGGCCCGCCCATATTCATCAAAAATGTTCACTTTATTATTAATTATCTAGCTAATATAATTTTGAAAAATTGTTATAGTTCATGTATAATGCTTGAATTCACTCACCTTTCTTAAACAAAAATCAATATTCTTTTAATGAATTAGTATGATGGGTTTATTAATTACGCAACAATACCTCTGTTATGCTTTCTATGTAAATTTGGTGAGTGGTGATTTTATTTTAAAGATTGAAAAAAGAGTTCAATGTTTTTTTTTTGGATTTTTTGAGCAAAAAAAGTTTTCTTGGTGTTTTATCCGGGCCGGGCGGCCCGGTGGGTAGTTTGGCCCGCTAAGGTGGGCAGGTATGGGTAAAGAGTTAAGCCCATCAAATTCAGGCCGGGCTAGGCCCACCCATGTAAATGGGCTAAGAATTTGTATCCAGCCCGTCCCAGATCCGGCCCGGATCCTTATTTGCACAGGTCTATTTCAATCCTTATATTTGTGTGGTTTTCACTTCTAAGTTGTGTAAGTTCTCAGTGATCTATGGCTTATGATGAAAACAAATATATGAGCATGAATTCCAATCACCATGCTTTTCCATTACTTAGATTGGTGAGAAGTTCAGGAGCATCATCAAGTGACTCTTAGCTTCTGTCATATTGGAGGTTATGAGCATATTCTAGGTTATTCTTTGGGAAAAAGACTAAAGTAGAAGTAAAACATTAAAAATATACCAAAACAGGACTTTTATGTTTTTATTCCCGAAATAGGAGTTAAAATGCATTACATTACCAACCAAACATGATCATGTACATTACCCAAAGTATAGTAATGTGTACATGTACAGTGCCACATTACAACCACATTACCACAGTGCGAAGTCCTATTTCGGGAATAAAAACATGAAATTCATATTTTAGTACTTTTTACTACTCCCTCCGTCCCCTTGTATTTGTCCACATTTGACTTTTGGAACTGTTCATCTAAGCACTTTGACTCATCAAATTCTCTCAATGTGTAAGCCTAAATATAGTCATGTGTGATCTTGTTTGATTTGTCTTAACATATAGATTATTAATATATAATTTTTATAATTTTTTAATATACAAATTACATGATAAAATAGATTAAAGAAGTGCATTGGATGGTGTGCAAAAATGAAAGTGGACAAATAGAGGGGGACGGAGGGAGTATGTTTTAGTCCCATTTAGAGTGATTTCTATTCTTCTTTTCCCGTATATAGTTGGTTGTTGTAGGAACTTAATGAGTTCTTTCATTGTAACATGATAGGTCATAGGTTATCTTCGAGGTTGGTCTTTGTTGATTTCTTTTGTTTTATGAACAGAGGGGAACTATCAAAGCAGACTCGTCGAGGTTCCCCAATCCTCGGTAACAAAATCTAAAATTCCGTCCGGAAAAAGAACATCCCAGAATCTAGCCCCACAAAAAACAGGTTTAAAGTGAGCTAGCTCATGGGCAACACAATTACAATGACGTTTAAACGCACGTAAAAGGAACTGCATCCAATGAACTAAAGTCAACATTTCATATAAGAAAAAACCCAAAGGAGAATTAAGAGTCTCAGCCCTGACAACTTGGACATGATTGGCAAACAATCTCCTTCAAGAGTAATCCTTTGATACTCCGTTTGAGTGATATTCTTCAAAGCAAAGACAACAGCCTTGGCTTCTTGGATTTCAGCTCCCCTCGTTGTCTCTGTCCAGTTGAGGCACATCCCGCGATTTAACTCCTCCACCATTCCTGAGGATTTATTCCTGCTCCTCAAAACTTAGACTCTCGATAACATCCCACTTTATAACATCTCCCATGGAATCCTGGACAACAAAACCCATTCCACCTCCATTACCAACCTTGCCACCGTGAAATTTAACTTCAAACCAGCCTGCCGGTGGGGGTCCACTTGCTTTGCTGCTATGTTCGAGTTTGAACTGTAACATATGAGCATTCTGATAACGTCTGCTGTAGGCTGTATCTAAGTGCTCTATTAGCCAATATCCTATGGCTAGCTTTTCCCCAAAAATAAATCTATTTTTGGTATGCCACACCTCCCAAAGCATGGAAAAGAATTCATCCAATTTAGCAGTACTAAGGTGTCCTCTTGCCAAGCCAATAATGTTTTGCATAGTGTGCCCTGACGCAATCACCAGGGTCGAGGGTACTTCCCCTCATACTTTTAAAGCTAGTGGACATTCTAAAAGAGCATGTGGAATAGACTCCTCTAGGGCATTTCAGATCTGGCATTCCAAATCATGTTGTTAGAACTTTTGTATGATAATAAGCATCTTGCTAGATTATTTGCATGGGAAGAATGATATTTGTCTTTGCAGGTTCCCTAATGCACCTGGTGCTATGATTTACCCCATTTATGGCCAAGGGGAACTATCCCAGGCCTTCTGTCGTCGTGCTGCTGTGAAAGGCTGTATATATGTTAGTTGAGCATATTTCTCTATTTCCAAAGATATTTCTTATGCAATTCTAGCTTTGCATGATAGTTGTTCTTCATTGACTCTAGTGTCTTTTGTGCAATAGATTGTTAATTCTTAATATATACTTTTTCTGTGCATTTTGTTTATAGGTTCTTCGAGTGCCAGTCAATTTTCTTCTAAGGGACAAGGTTGGAATGATATTTTCTCAGAACTAAAAAAAGAAAAACAGATCGATTTCTGTACTCTCTTATCGTGGATTGCCTCTTGTTTTGGTTTGTTGTTTTATACATCTCACTTTGATGTTCTTTTTTCCAGGAAAGTGGAAATTCCAAGGGTGTCAAATTGGCTTCTGGTCAAGAATTGTTTAGCGATAATCTTGTATTAGGTCCATCATTTGCAATTCCATTGGATCCAGTTGAATCTTCTGCTCATGCTCTGCAAGGCATTTCTTTTGATCTCAACAGAAAAGATGTAGTAAAAGAGAAGCTGGTTAAGGGAATATGCATTGCCAAGTGCTCATTGAAAGTAGATGTGTCAAACTGCTTGGGGTTCTTTCCTCCTCGATGTATGTCTAACCTCATTAATTTTCAGGAAAAGAAAAGTTTCCATTATTTATTTTGGTCTTGAAAATTTGCAACCCCTCTTTTCTCCAGCTTTGCACACTGAACAGATGTCCTCAATTCGTGTCTTTCAGTTGAGCAGCAATGTAGCAATATGCCCCAGTGGAATGTAAGTTTATTACAGAGAATGTGACTATGTGTTATGCACGCGTATACATAAGAGTCATAATACGCAATGTATGGTTGCAAAATGGGTTTGGTATGTAGCACGATGGAAAGTAATTTGTATCGACCACTTCTTTCTTCAGGTTTGTGACTTATCTTTCAGTCATATGTGAAGATTCTGTGCAAGGGAAGAAACTGCTAGAAGCAGCCATTAATGCATTATTCTCTGTTCCCATTTCTGGCAATTCTGAAAATGATCATCCAAATGCAAAACCGGCTATACTTTGGAGTGCCTTGTACACACAGGAGCTGACAGAGGTTTGCATTGTCTGAACATTTGTGTGTCACAAGTGGGCATATTGTATTGTCTGACTTGTTTTCCCAAATCGATCACAGGAGGAATCATTTGGTTCCATCATTTCGGTCCCTACACCCGACGGAAATCTGCACTACAACGATATTCTGGCTGCATCACGCAAGGTAATAAATACTACCCCGACCCATTATTTTTGTCCTTTTTTACCCTTTTTTGTCCGGCCCACTATTTTTATCATATACCATATACCATCATATTTGGTCATATTTGTTTGGTTAACATCCATATCGACTACACGATCTTATTTAATCTTCGTGTCACTCCCTTATGTCCCAAAAAATAGTGGGACAGAGGGAGTGCTAGCATGTTTTTCGTTCAATGTTCCCATTTTCTGCAATGGCCTTTGAAATATGTGTATCGTTCATTCAAATGGACTATTCTGACAGATATTCGAGAAATTGTACCCTGGCGAAGAATTCTTACCGAAGGCCACATCGCCTGAGGAGAATGTGTCTTCCGCCACTGAAGGTGACGGCGACGAGTCCATTGGAATATAATTTGATAGAGATGAGCTTTTGAGGGGGTCCCACGTTCATGTGTCCCCCTGAAGGTAACATGGGGCTTTTATACAAGGTCCATTTTAGCATATTATTGGCACCAATTTACCACAGCTGTAGAAATAGTTTCCCGCCCTGATTTCTATTGTTAATGTGCGTGTGGGGCCGGGTAGAGAAATGTGCCAAGTTCTGAAGAGTTACTGTGCGTGTTGGGCTGGGTAAAGAAAGGGGCCAAGTTTTAGAATTATAAATAAATTATTTTTTCTTTTATTTTCGCGACTATAACTGCACGTAAAAGTGTTCCCCACAGGATTCAAATGTTCCGCGTAGTAAATAAACAAATGGGCGACGTGTTAAAAATATGCATAGTAAGGCCATGTTTTCTTCCTCTTATCTAAATAGTTTGATCTGATTAGAATAAATTTTGATCTAATATGATCTGAATGTAGTTAGATTTAAAGTTTCTCATTTGATTTCAATAGGGATAGATAATAAGTAAAATAATAAATCGAGAGAAACATGGTCTATATCATTTACTTTTACAGAGTAATTTGATGGCCATAATAATCTTAATTACATATTTCGAACGTTCTCAGGAGTTATTCTTCTCGAGAACGACTCCTAAGAACATCCAAAAGTGTATTAAGTTTCTATAAGGAGTTGGAAAAAGTTGAAAATTAAATTTTCCACTATAAAAGAGTAGGGCCGATGTAAAAAAAAGGAGAAGGCAAAATCAATCGTGGAGCTCGATGTTTGGATATCGGCCATGCCGAATCCCCATCGGGGGGAAGGGGGGGGTGTTTCATGTCGTGATGGCGCGCCACATTGGCTACCCCGACACCACACCCTATAGCCTTATGTATTGTATAAAATACTTGGTATGACGAAAGGATTGAAATAATTTTCATCTTTTCAACATACACATCACAAGGATACAATAAAAACATCAAACAACTTTTTCATTTAATATTAACGGAAAATTATTTTAAATAATTTCACCTCTTCAGGCTCTTTTAAAAAATAATCTTACTTTTCACTATCATCAAAAGTAATCTCACCTTTTTCATGTGTGCGAGTTTTGGGCCACTTAATGAGATTTTTTGGAAAATGCACGTGTTTTCACAAATAAGTGAAAGGTGAGATGATTTTAGGTAATTCTCTTTTTTTTTGTTTTTTATTTCAATTATCAAATTTAAATGTTCTTTTTAAAAATGTTTTTATTAATAATACCAAATTTATGTATTTTTAGAGTGAAACTAATTATTTTTTTCAACAATCGATAGTCGGCTAGTAATTGAACAATAAATAAAATTATTCTACACAATGGGGCTAATTTATTACGTAGTATTTCATAACTCACTACATTTTTACACCGTATTGTTCAAAAATATATTAAAAGTTTTACAAAATAAGATGTAACAAAAATGTTTCATTTTATCAAATGGTCAACTAAAACGAATAAACAAATAAAAGTTATCGAAAAGCCGGAATAATAACTGTGACATTCTTTTTGAGACGGATGAATGATTAAATCTCATGCCAAGCTAATGAAGAAAAATACTCCATATAAAAGAGTTAGAATAATTTTTAAATAAAAAACAACCAATATCACCTTCATTAAGTTCTAAAAAATTTTCACTTTCTACAAAGTCAAAGTGAGAATCTGCCATTTCCCACGGCATGCATGCATAGGTGATGGTTTCTTGGTTTACATTATTCTTCTTTGGGCATAACTCAATTCGTTTATCTAGACGAGCAAAATGGATAAATCTGAGATAAATTTTTTAATACTCCGTAATATTATTGCAAAAACTTCTAAAATTTTAATTATGTTATCACTTTATTTGAAAAGTAAAGTTAATATGAATTCAAAGATAAAAAAGTTTTAAAACTATATCAAAAATTCTATAAATACAAAATGATATAATTATATTACTTTATGAAACGAGTGATAAAAATAGACAAAAAAGAAGTAACCAAATTCAAATTAGAATGAAGATAATACAAATACAACTTTACTCCGTAAAATATTGCAACTATTTTGGGTTAGTCAATGGAAGAAGTGGGTTATCATTGAAAGAGGAAAAAGTTAAAACAGAGGGAAAAAGTGGCTTGGCGCATCCGATTGGTGTTCGATAATGCTGACTTTTCTGGTTTTGGCTTTCGGGGAAAGAGGGATTTCTGCAAGGGTTCCTCTTAACTATAGCTAGCACAGGAATGAGTGCAAGAAGAAAAAAGAAACACAGAAATTAAGCAGATTTAAATTGGGAAACGAAAAAAAAGCAAGGCACCATTCAAATATTCAAAGAAAGTGTAGTTTTTTTCTTCTTTCTTTCTTATCCTTGCCCAGAAAGTCCAACCCACGAGGATCAGATAATCAAGAATCCCTCTTTTGTCCACAGTCTTTCCCATTTTCTTGTGTGTCTCATTAGGTTATGAAGATGATGGTTGCACCGTGAGGGGCGTGGGTAAAATGGGAAATTGCGTTGGATCCGTAAGTGCCGGCCCTAGCAGCGCTACCCGCCGCATCAGCTCTTCTACTAGCACCAGACCTTCAACTCCAGGCACTTCTCTCTCTCTCACTCAATTTCTATAGATTATTGTTGTTTTTCCCCAATTTGGGTCATTTCCTCTTTTGTCTGCTTTTGAATTTCACATTTCCCATGTTTTTTATTCTGTTTAAGTAAAAAGATGGAATCTTTTCAAATTTATGTGGGTGGTTTCATCTTTTTTTCTCACTTTTGGTGGGTTTTGTTTCTGGTAAGTTTGATGTTGAGACTTGATAGCTAACCCCAAACACATATCTTGTTTCTTTTGGGATAGAAAATCAATTATCAATTGAAATAGAAATATTACAGAGTATTATTATTACTCCGTATTATTTTAATGCCTTTTTTGGGGGGCTATTTACAGAAATCTCAAGAAATGAAAGCAATGGTGCAACTGAATTTTCTGCAACAAGCAATAGTGCTGGGCATAGCCTGTTTTCCACGACGGGGAGTGAGGGCACGCGTTTAAATGGGGAGATTCTGCTCGCTTCGAATTTGAAGGTCTATACTTATGCGGATATGAAGGCTGCCACTAGAAGTTTCAGGCCGGATATGGTGTTGGGGGTGGGAGGGTTTGGCAAGGTGTATAAAGGATGGGTTGATGAGAAGACACTGATGCCATCTAAATTTGGGAGTGGAACCATTGTTGCCATCAAGAAGTTAAATGATGAAAGTATGCAAGGGTTTGAGGAGTGGCAGGTACTACTTCTACCACCACCACCACTACTACTACACCTCACACATCTTTTCTTCCTTTTTTCCCTTGATGAGCCTAAGTTGTGGTTTTGAGCCGATGGTCTCTTGGAAACAGTCTATCTACTTCTTACTTCTTAGTAGGGGTAATTCTGCATATACACACCCTCCCCAGATCCTATTTTTTTGTGGGATTTTACAGGCCTATTGTTGTACCTTAAAAAAATATATCCGTATTGATTTCTAGGTATAAAAGTAACAAGCAAAATTAATATCATAGGGTAATTGAGTCATTTTACGATGTTTTAAGTTATTTATGGGCATTGTATAGTTGCTTGGTTAAATATACTTTGTAGTAGTTAATGTGGTCTCCTAATTGAACAAATTTCATGACTGATTATCTTCTACATTTACAATGGATTATTTGACTTTTTGTCTATTCAGATCTCTAGGATTATACTAGTTGGATAGTCTTGCGAGCCTTAGTTAGTTAGTTAGTTGTTGTTGTGTGTGTGTGTGTGTTCATTGGATGATCTAATAGTATTATACACTTATCTGCATGTTCAAACATTTGAAATGCAGTCGGAAGTGAACTTCTTGGGCAGTCTTTCACATCCTAATCTGGTTAAGCTCATTGGGTACTGTTTGGAAGACAAAGAACTGTTACTTGTCTATGAATTTATGCCCAAGGGAAGCTTGGAAAACCACCTCTTCAGAAGTAAGTAACGAGACAAAAATTTAATTTTAGCTAAGACGAAACAACAGTATGGCCTGTTTGGTAAGGGTTGTTTGGCTCAATTTTCCAAATTTTATAAAAGGAAAGTACAACACACTTCGGCCAAATTCTTTTGCTGATACAAGGATGATAATAAACCAGAACTGGCTATCCAAACAGAGCCTAACAAATGATCTTTTCTGTAATTGGCAATTTCCTTCCTTTTTTAGGAGGTTCTACTGTTGATCCGCTTTCTTGGGACTTGCGGCTCAAGATCGCGGTAGGAGCAGCCCGTGGCCTGGCGTTTCTGCATGCTTCAGAGAAGCAAATCATCTACAGAGATTTCAAGGCTTCCAATATTCTTCTTGATGTGGTAAATAAGTTTCTCTTATTACATCTGCTAGTTGTTTGACAGTCCTTTCATTCTCTTGGCTCCCAAAAAAGTCATTTTTAAGTAAAAAAAACTTTGGCAAAACTTTCTGATAAAAGCTCAAAACTTTTCCAAAATGCTGAAATCATGTTTGCGGGCGCGTTTGATATTTCCCATGAAGAGTGGTCAAAGTGGAAAAGAATCACTTGTGTTTGTGTGTGTTTATTTCCACTCATATGGATGAAATATTTGCATTTTATGATCCTTTTATTTTGTAGAATTACAATGCGAAAATATCAGATTTTGGCCTGGCAAAACTGGGGCCCTCTGGCGAGAACTCACACGTTACGACTCGAATCATGGGCACACACGGTTATGCTGCCCCTGAATATGTTGCAACAGGTGAGAGTTTGGTCTGTTTCTGCCCCTAAAAGAACTCAACACTTTCCATTCTGGCATCCCAAAAAGAACTTTTACACTTCTCACTTTTGGTCACTTTTTTTCTTAAACTCCGTGGAAGTACTGAAATACCCCTCTCCCCCTATACCAGGCCACCTATACGTCAAGAGCGACGTGTACGGGTTCGGGGTGGTGTTGCTGGAAATGTTGACCGGATTAAGAGCGCTGGACAGCAGGCGAACGGGCGGGCAAACGAATCTGGTGGAGTGGAAGAGGCCATTTCTGGGCAAGAAAAAGAAACTGAAGTGGGTAATGGATCCCAGAATGGAAGGCCAGTACTCCACAGAGGCTGCATTGCAGGCTGCCCAGCTCAGTCTGAGGTGCACAGAACATGAACCTCGCAAGAGGCCAACAATGGAAGAAGTTGTGGGGATTCTGGAAGAGATTGAGTCTATCAAGAAAGGGAATGAGAAGCCCTCAAAAAGCCGGAAATCTCAATCTTCGTCGCGTCGGCATAGAGGCGGCAGTTCAGGCCGCAATGGCAGCTCTCTGTAACATTGTTTGGTGTTTTGTTGTTTGCTTTGAAGCCTGTTTGGTAACTTGGTTGAAATTGTGGCCGGAGGCCGCCGGACTGAACTGTTAGGGAATGTATTTAAATTGTATTTTATTGTTAAATTTGGGGAAAAAATTATCTCCACAAAAGAAAAGGATAGAAGTATCATAACACACTAAGAACTTGTTCTTTTCAATTTATTCTTTTTATTTATTATTTATTCTTATTCGAATCAGATCAGAAACAACTTTAAATATAACACAAGAAAAACTTGTTCTCAACTTATTCTTTTTACTTACGAAGCACTCCCTCTGTCTTAAAATGTGCATCCCGTTCCTGTTTACGAGATTGACCAATTTTATTTTCAATTCAATTTATTTGATTGTAGGTGTATAATTAAAAAATAAAATTTATATATTTAAAAATTACATCAAAAGTTCTAAAAAAATAAGAGGTGGCAAAAGTATATTATTTTATTAAATACTCCCTTCATCTCAGCGTGTTTGTCAAATTTGACTTTTTTGAGTCAAACATGATGATTTTTGAGCTTTAACTAAAAAACTACTAATATATATTAGTATCAAAATGATTTTATCAGATAATTCTTGTTGATAAGTTTTAAAATTTTATTTTATTATACTGCTCCTTCCGTCTTAGAACAATCTTCTCGTTTCTGTTTACGAGGTTTGATCAACTTTATTTTTAATTAAAATTTATATATGTAAGAAAACTACATCAAAACTTCTACTCTGGAGTATAAAACAACATGTGTCAAATATCTAACAAAAATAGGTAAAGAAAATGATTAAAATTTGACCATGCGAATAATAATTGGGAAGAATATTTTAGAACGGAGGGAGTAATATACAATACAAATTGAGAGTAATTGAACCTCAAATTTGTCCAATTTGACTCGAAAAAGTCAAACTAGAAAAAAACACTGGTCAGAGGAGTGACAAAAGTAGGTAAAGAAAGTGATTAAAGTTTGACCGTGTGAATAATATCTGAGAGGAATGTTTTAGGACGGAGGGAGGATTATTTGTTTTTATTTAAATCAGATTAGAAGCAACTTTAGATATATCTACAATTAGATCTGATTAGAACTTGATAAAATCAGATCAGAATCAATCAAATAAGTTGGAGAGAACAAGTCTTAAAATAGTCATGTGTTTGGTAGAAAAATAAAGTGCACAAGCTCATAAATATATGTACCAAATGAGTGCTTCTGTGGTGTACCTTGGGTGTATATCACTTTTATGGACATTCTCACATAAAAAATGTTTTTTTATTTTTTTTATTAAAAAATCAAATGTTTATTTAAATAGTAAAAAAATGTTTGTTTTATTTATATGTAGGTTCATGAAAGATATCTTATATCGATAATAAAATTTATCAAATCAAACGGGTACCGAAATTGGTAGGGATTGTAAGTACTCCGTAATTAATTTTTTTTTAATCTTTTAAATTTAATTTTTGCGACTTTGTTGTCCGTCTATCCCCTCGGAGATTGGTCTTAAGAAACGCAACACAAATTGACATCAACTTTCGCATGAAACAGAAGAAGAAGAGGAAGAAGAAGAAGAAGAAGAGAAGAAATAACTTCCAATCGCAGTTGTCCTTGGTACGAGCTATTTGGTCGGATCAACAGATGTCTCATTTCTGGTAGTGTGGGGGAGCTGGAGGTGAAAGAGTTGCAGACTCTAAGGTTCTTGCGTGGGTCTCTGGAAACCAGGGAAATGAGTTCTAGAAAAATGAGTTATTTTCTTGGGCAAAAGGNGTGCTGAACAACACAAATGGATGCCAAAACCTTTGCCTAAAGTAGATGCTCATGCAAGGGGGTTCACACAGGCATAAGGTCGAATACCTTGTGTGCATTCTTGTGCCTAGGGTTGCACACACAAAGTTGAGCATGATACGCCACAAATACTATATGGAGCCTGAGAAACCCTAAAACAAGGAATGAATTTTCCGTTCTTGCTAAACATGGGGGAAATGACTTTGCCCTTTCCAAATGGACCCTTGGGTAGTTGGGTTAATACAAGTTTGAGAAAAGTCCTGTTTCAAAAAAAAAAAAAAAGAAGAAGAAGAAGAATTGGCTGCTGGTCAACGGGAAAGCCGGCAAAATAGACTTCAAATTTCCCTTTTCCCCACTTTTCTTTTCATGTTCTAAATTCTTAGATTACCAAGACTTGAAATAGCCTAAACTGATGCTACTACCTCAAGAGCAACATAAAGATGCATCATCCTCTTCTTGCATGGTGTACTATGCTGCTCAGTGGTTTGATCATCTCTCTCACTTTTGGTTTCCATGTTGACCAGAGCAATAGCATAGCCATTTCTTGTGGATCTTCTGCAAATCTTATTGCTCACAATGGGCGCCTGTGGGTAGGGGACAACAGCTTTTCCTTAACTGGACAATCTTGGACTAGCAGAGCCCAGCACAAAGCCAGTGTCTTGATAGATCCAGTACCCTACCAGACAGCCCGGGCTTCTCGCCGCGAGTTCAGCTACATGTTCCCAGTCAAGCCCGGCCAGAAGTTCATCCGCCTGCACTTCAACCCAGCACCCTACAAGGGCTTCAAGAAATCCACAGCTCTTTTTACTGTCAGGATCGGTCCGTACACTCTGCTCAGAAGTTTCAGCCCTTCCCTCGCCGCTGATTCTCTGGGTGTGAAGATTCTCCACAAGGAATTCTGTGTCAATGTTAAAGAGAGTGAAGATTTATTGACCATAACATTCACTCCATCATCTCAAGAAGAAGATGTTTATTATGCCTTTGTCAATGGCATTGAGATTGTCTCCATGCCTACTGGCCTTTATTTCACTCCGGAGGGGGACCTGGGCTCCCATGTTGTCGGCCAAAAGCACAGGTTCTACATTGATAACTCCACAGCTCTAGAGATGGTGCGAAGGTTAAACGTGGGAGGGCATTCAATTTCATCTACTGAGGATGGAAGCATGTTTCGTGATTGGGAAGATGACAACGGTTACCTCCTGATAGGAGGTGGAGGAGCTGGCGCTTCGATTGAAACTGCCATGAAAATCAAATATCCAGAGATCATGCAGCAGAAAGCACGCGTTGCGCCTCTCAGTATCTACCAAACAGCCAGGACAGCCGGTGTGCATCCAGGCAAGCAACAGAAGATCAATGCTATTCATAACAGGCTCACATGGATAATTCCAGTAGATTTGGGATTCAGGTACTTAGTACGGCTCCATTTCTGCGAATTTGATCCTGAAATATTGGCAAGGGGTGAGAGGCAATTCCGTATATTGATAAATAATGAGATAGCTGAGGATAACGCGGATGTGGTCAAATGGAGTGGAGTACATGGAATTGCAGTGTACAGAGACTACGTAGCAACGGTGGGAGGGGATAGAGTGAAAGGGGGTGAGAATCTATTAATAACTTTGCAGCCTACCTCAAATGAGTTTTGCTGTAAAAGAAGAGATGGAATTCTGAATGGCTTGGAGATATTCAAGTTGAGTAATCCTGACAACTCTCTTGCTGGTGCTGCACAAAGATCAGTCTCAAAGGAGATTCCAGAAAGGGAGGAGGAAGTTTCCTTTGATAGAAAGAATGCAATTGCAACTGCATTTACTGTAGCACTTGTTTTCCTGAACATTGCTATATATCACCTAAGGCGTCTCTCACAGGAAAACTCTACCGTGAGAAATAGAGAACCGTTGTATGTGGATCAAACTTTTCGCCAATTCTCACTTGAGGAGATTCGGCTTACTACAAACAATTTCAGTCCCAAATTCGTCATTGGAGCTGGTGGGTATGGTAAAGTATACAAGGGATGTATGGATGGTGGAAAAATGGTTGTGGCAATTAAACGTTTGAAAGAAGGGTCTAAACAAGGAGATAATGAGTTCTGGACGGAAATAAAATTGCTATCCAAGGCCCGAAATGAACATCTTGTCTCCCTAATTGGCTTCTGCAATGAAGAAAAGGAGATGATGCTGGTTTATGAGTACATGCCTAGAGGAACACTTGAAGACCATCTCCACAAAATCAGCAACCATCCGCTCTCTTGGGAAAGAAGACTCAAGATTTTAATAGGAGCTGCACGGGGATTGCATTACCTTCATGCCTCCTACCATAAGATCATACACCGCGATGTAAAGAGCTCAAACATTTTGATAGATGAGAATTGGGTTGCAAAGATTTCAGACTTTGGTTTGTCCAAAACGGGGCCTGGAAATGAGTCGTTCACTCACGTCAGCACAAATGTAAAGGGAACGTTTGGTTACTTTGATCCCGAGTACTTCTTGACTAGAAGATTGACAACAAAGTCTGATGTTTATTCTTTTGGAACAGTGCTGCTTGAAGTGCTGACTGGGAGGCCAGCACTGGATAAGAGGCTTCTCGAGGAGCAGAAAAGCCTTGTGACCTGGGCTATCGACTTCATTAGGAAAGGAGAAGTTGATGAAATTGTAGACCCTGGTCTAGCTGGTCAAGTCTCTCGTACTTGTTTGGACGAGTTTGTTAAAATTGCTAGAAGATGCTTGCACAGGCATCCTCGTAAACGACCAGATATGGATCACATAGTGACAAGCCTCGAATTAGTTTTGGTTTTACAACAGGAGGAGGAAAAAGATGGGGTTATTGACACTGGTGTTCGCAGTAGTGACGGATCCATATCTTTCAACAATCGATCTGAACCTCTTCCAAGAAATAACAGCAATAGTGCTGGCCAAAGCCTGTTTTCCACGACAATGAGTGAGGACACACGTGTAAATGGGGAGATGCCCGCTTCAAATTTGAAGGTCTATACTTATGCGGCTTTGAAGGCTGCCACTAGAAGTTTCACGCAGGACATGGTGTTGGGGGTGGGAGAGTTTGGGAGGGTGTATAAAGGATGGGTTGATGAGAAGACACTGATGCCATATAATATTGGGAGTGGAACCATTGTTGTTATAAGGAAGTTAGATGAGGAAATTATACAAGGGCTTGAGGAATGGCAGGTTCTACTACTACTTCTACTACACGTTGTTCATTTTATTTCTTTTGATGAGCCTAAGGTGTGGCTTTTGAGCCGGGAATCTCTTGGAAACAATCTCTATACTTTCTAGTAGGGGTAAGGCTTGGGTACACAGACCCTCCCCATACCCTACTTTATATAGGATTTTTCTAGACTTGTTATATCTTCAAAAGTATATT